TCCATTACAACACAAGTTTGTGATGGTTAGTCAAATAGTAAATAATGATATTGCGATATCCTTTATTACCGAACGGGGTGCGGTTACGGGCTTGGCGATCCCGGATATATTTTCTAGGGTTGGATTGATGGTACTTACCCTATCAGTAATAGTCTTCACACCTCACCGTCCTAATTTAAGCCTTCAAATCCATATGTGTTCAGAATTATCCGAAAGTTTAATGACGACTCGTCATTTCATGAGACTCATAAAGAAAGATATATGGAAATAAAAAGTGAAATTCCCAGTTCTAGGCATTTTTAAGCAATTTTACGATTTTCGTACATTTCTAGAACTTCGGAAGTCTATTTACATATATTCAGATCCCAAATCAACCCCCCAAAATGGCGAATCTGCCCTTTTAAATGGGCAATATTGTCGATCTTAAGAGTAAGGGTGACCCCACTGACATCTATTATATTATCGAGTAACAGGGGGTAGGTTTGGGATTGGTCTAGGTCTCCGTAGATTAGAACGATTTTCATACTAGGCCTACATAGTGGTATAGATAGCTGAAGTTTAGCTTATTCGGCTGATCTAGCAAATAATTAAACGATATTCTCAAATGATGGATTCTATCAATGTTTTAATTAAAATACAATGTCAGTGAGGTTAATCAATGTGTATTATTGAAGGGTGATAACTGCAATTTATAACTGTGATTTCCAGACAACAAACTTTCTCAAAACTTTTCCCTTTGATTGCTTTGTTGTCAAAGGGACGCAACTCCCTAAAAATGCTTCAGACAACAATAGCCTATTAGGGACATATGCCATAAGAGACATACATGTAGAATATGCGACAATGTCTTGAACGACTCTTTAATGGTTCAGTTTTGTATATATATATTACTGTTTTGGTGAAAAGTCTCAAAGCAACACCCACAAAGAGTGACTTTTTATCGGGCTATGGAAAAGTGTGTTTTGTGTTTGTTAGGACACCGAAAAAGGACAAGGCCCTGTTTGTAGAAGTCAGAAGTTGAGCTGGTGGTGAGATAGCTTTTAACCTATTCCCATTTGCTGTTCAGAAAACAGGCTTAGAATTCTAGAAATTGTGCTTCCCAATCAACAAGCAGGTGAGTTCAGTAAAGTCAAAGACTCGAACCCTGGACCCCAAAATCAATAACTTTACATTGAAATAATTTGGTTCGAACCGAGTTAATTAGTCGTGTCTTCATTATCTTGTTTAATTAGTTCAATAAGATCGATATCTAGTGATCGCTCATCGATCAGTTTTGATTTTTTCTATGTACAAAAGGAATTATTATGTAGACTGTAGACTGGTTCGCACGTAATTAGTTTTACGCACGGACTGCGATGAACTGGAGATATTTAAGCTTTCCCATCTTCACAGCTATTACGATCTGAATCAAATAACTCAACTACAGTAGGCTCTTTTCTTTTCAAAGCATTATGGCTCATTGTTTACAGACTTTTAGTCTATGGTTCCGACTGGCTGTATTCCCTAGCGTTCTACCCATTCAAATCACTGCATTTACAAACTTCCGTGATACGAGAAAATGGTCCAATCAAGTCAAAGTATTAGAAACAGTTCGCAGTTAGCTTGACATAATGACGATGGGCCTCTACAGGTATGTGAGTACGAGCGGGTTTCTTTAGACCTGTCTCTGGCCTGTTTATGAAAGTAGGACATAAAACTCCATTCATTTCTATTCATTTCTGGCCTTTTTTTTTATAGAATAGAACAAGTTGGTTTATCAGAGTTTAAATATTGATTAGTTATGAAATGTCAAGGCTAACAAATCTATTTTTATGTCTGATCTGAGATAGATCTAATAACTTAATTTCAATATTCTTGACTTGGAAATGAAAGTTAATTTTGGACTTTTGAATTAGCACCAGCTATTTTCAGCACCACCAAGTACATTATGCTATATTTTTACTTGTGACTAAAGTGTAAAATATAATACATTTAAGATCTTCATTTTAAATTCATATCTAACGAAGTTTTTGTTTTTATTAGCTCCATATATAGCAGCTCCACAACATCCGGCAGTTTCCGTAAATCTGAATCTATTTTGCAGAAGGCAAGCGGAGTTTCACGGTCTATTACTATACGTCATGAATAATTGCTGCCGAATACCACTGACGTTAACACCAAAACTAATGACGTCATTAACAAGCTCGTTAATCCCAGAGTTCTAAGAATATAACAACCGACACGGGTTTGCCGTGATGACAAGAATGTCGGCGTAAACAAACAAATAAAACATAAAATAACCATTTATTTTTCACCAGTGAATATTAATATCGCATCAGAAGTGGGCTAAATGATTTTCCAGACTGGCTATAATTGTTTTGGACTATTTATGACAGGAAGGTCTGGTTAATTAGTTCTCTACTTAGTTATTTGAATCGGAATTTTCACAATAAACTGGTTCACCTTCCTTTTCAGCTTCAGATCAGTTCCAATTTCGACTAAATCTTGCAATTGATCAGATTTTCCAAGAGGCCACCATAAATTTAGGGAACATTCCCTAACGGTGGCCGCGTTCAGACAACTTATAAAAGCAGCCACGAAGAACGGTTGATAGAATATAGCCTTAACTACAGCGATCTGAAATCTAAAGGTGATTTTGATGAAAAAAAGTGAGTTGATATCCTTTCTGTTGGGGCTGACACGTTGTAATTTTGAATCAGCAATTATCTGTCAGGGTTGAAAAGAACAGTAGTGTATAGGATAACACCAGTCAAGTTTGAAAATCAATTCATTAATTGTTCCGCCTATAATTTTAATAACATGATTTTTTAACATCAACAATTTTATTACAGTGTTGTAGATTCCATTCATGCAGAAATTATTTTTCCTGTTCGAATTCTATTCTATTCACTGGCATTTCATTTATCTAATGCAGTTCTTCAATAAACACGAAGTTCCATTCACGTTCTGTGTATTTAATATCAACTCATTGAAGCTCGTTAATGTCAGTCAGAGCATGTGTAATAGTCGATTACTACAAGATTTATTTCCCGATAACGCCAAATTGCGTTTTTTACGCCAAATATTACGCTGGTAAAAATACAATGGTAAATTGAATAAACTATTCAAGGTAATTATGACGTAATATCCATATATGACAAGCATGTAAAAATGATGTCATAAATGACGACAACAAAAAAATATGACGTTATTATAAGTTGACGTCAGTCAATTTCATTACGACGTTATATTTGCTCAACGTCGACGAAAGACAATGTAACAATGCTATAGTCAGCTGATGGGGTGACTCCATCTTTGGGTACGCCCAATATATAGATTGGTATTTAGGCTATATATAATTATGATGATATATTCAGGATGTTATATAACTAATACATGTGTAGCACATATTTAGTGCTTTTCCTGGAGAAAATATAATCATTTAACACATGGTTTTTTGATCAGTATTCTTCAGGTAAATACAGCTGTTGTCTGTAATTCGTATCATTATCAAGACCGAAACATCTGACTCTACTCCAGTGGATAACGGTAAAATATATATCATAGACTGGGATAGAGGCAGATGTTTCGGACCAATTATTATGTAATAGAAGGAATATAACGTGATCTGACTATTTAAGGTATATGAAAATAATAGTTTTTTTACTGTGTGTGACTGTGAACAAGTCATACACCGTCAGTTTAACTTTGATCACTATATTATTATGGTATTACATTCAGCTTCATTTTGATGATTTTATAAAGGGTTATATAAATGCATGTTGAAGCCTAAAGGCTGGCGATTAAATAAAATGATATTATAAAGGTTAAGGTGCAATGATTGAGAATAAAAATCTTCAGGATAAAATCCAAGGTCCATGTCCCAGGATTGAGAAGGGAGGAGGACCTCGGGAATTCAGTCACTCTGATTTATATTACATTAGAACCACTGGAACCTTTCATCAACGTCATCACCAACAGTCAAGCAACAATGGTGTTGAATTCAGACGGAAATATCGCAATACCTTCCATTAGGGTCTGACAAGAAATAAACCACGGTAATATTACCAAGTTTCCGTGCTTCGGGCGACAAGATATCTCACTCAATGGAGAGCTCGATGGACAAATTTTAATGGCTTGACAAAACTGTGGCTGGCAAAATGAATGATTAATAATTTTTCAAAATCCAAACCCACAATATCAATCAAATCTTGATAGTTAATGGGTTGGTGACAATAAACAAAAGGCGTAATAGAAAAAGTCACAATAACTTTCAATTTATTTATTTCATAATGTATTCAACAGTTCTTGAACGACTGGAGATGGTCAATATAGTACTTACACAGCGGCTTATTATGCTACTATATAAATACCATTTGGTACATATATCAATATGCACGTGTGCTCGAGTTGAAAGTAGGTCAGGGTAGTGTTAAAGGGATTGTATTTAGTCTTGTGGTCTTAATTAACAGCAGTATTCACTTTAACAATGGGAATCAATGTAACACAATAAGTATGATTTATACAATGGTTATCATATATAATTTAATCGTTATGACGTCATCTTCCAAGTCATATCATAAGTTATTTACCAGGGTTTAAAGTTAAATCACAAAATAACGTGGTAACGAGTATAACCATCTAATTAGTAGTCAAATTTTTCTAAAGTTTGTAGCTTTGTAACATTTCAAGATAAATATTTATTTGAATATGAGCACTTCTTGTGCATACGTCCCTTATCACTGCAATGCACAATGTCTCCGTTACAAAATATCCTGGCACGTATTCAACAGGTTTTACTCTGAATGTTGTCACACAACACCTTTCCATGGTATCCTCTCCATTGGGCAGTCTTCATGGCGTGATAATCTTCGTTGAGGAACACAGCACCTCGGCGGTGGACTACTATCAACTCCTGTATAGTTGGTATTGTCCGAGTGTTTTTGTTGGGTGAATTTATATGTATAGGAGTTCCGAGTTTTCTTTCTGTTGCCTTGACAACATGGAAATAAAATGGTGGATCTGAAAGCTTGTCTGAATTTGACAGACATGATGCTGTAAAGGATAGGGTTTATCGTGGTGCTGATATAATACAATACACCCGACACGTAATATAAACAGTCATGAACGAGTATCAGGGTTAAAGTCCAATCCTCGACATAAACTACTAGAAGTCTTTGAGCATGGAACGGAGCCCAACAGACGAAAAACGCCACCACTACAGCAACTGAAAAGAAAAAATAGTGAATATTAAAGATAGTCATAAACTAAATAGTATGAAACCTATATAAATTGGAGTGAAGCCATATATGGGTTTTTGAATTACTATAGTATAATATACCTTTAACAATTCTCAACAAAGTACTCAACTGGTTATAATAATTCAGCTCTCAACAATAGACGACGTTGGGCGTACTGGATTGATGAGATTTCGTTACTTTGCTGAAGACAACTGTCATAGTTTTATTGCAGAAATCTTATATGAAACATCTGTTTTTGACCTTGAGGTTCTGAATATTGGGATGACAAAATATAAATAATGAAAATTCGATAAAGTCTGGTGTTAAAAATGAAATCAATCATTCCAATATTACACAACATGTCCACAAACTTGGTCAATTATCTCTTTAATATATTTGAATAATTGATAATGTTCGAGTTTCGGTCTCTATAACAATTTTTACAGTGTTTAAAAAGTGTAATAGCGTTGCGTAAACTGTGAAACCGACAGAATTGAGTAACTGGCTTCATTTTCTTTGAAAAATGTCCTTTTGTAAGACTGTGCTCATTTCAGAGGTTCCAACTGCCAAAACCCACGATATCAATCAAATCTTGGTTATGTTTAGTAAATAGTTTGCTGACACCGAACAAAAGGCTTAAAAGTATATACCATCAACTATGTTATGATCAATTCCAACTATTGTACAAGTCTATACAGAATCTGTATGTTTCGTTATTTTTAGTAATGATTATGGCGGGAGTAGTGAAAAAGGTTTTCTGTTAATTTCAATCCACTTTATTTCAGTTATCTCTGTAGTACATTGGACTTTCTAACGATCTTTCAATGTATCCTCTTACGAAACTTTAACAAAGAAATAGTGTCCGTTAAAAAAATTTCAGAAACGCTCCGGGCAACAAAAGCATAATCCAAGGAAAACTACGAAGTAAGTATACCAACTAAACTGACACACACAAGCCTTTAAGGCTACATTATAAATCACATATTGACATGTCATATGATTTTCTTTTCTGATTTATTTTTTCAGAGATATTTGGAAGTCTATTTCAAGACATAAGGTCATATTTCAAATAAGCAGAAACGATGATAAACTACGCTAAATATGATAATTAACATCTGCTTGTCAGCCCACTTTTTCTTATTCCAGACACTTTTTAGCATTTTTAAAAAAGTAAAATTATTATCTTGAATTTTTATCACGAAACCGAATAAGAAAAATAGAGAAAGACAATAATTTAGAAATCTACTGGTGATGGCAAGATGTCAAAGCCATGTTATGTCACATTCAGTATTTCTAATTATATAATGTCTACCTACAACTTCTCACATCAATTTCTTCTCGACTTCATTTACGTCTTTCAAACTAAACATGTTTATTCAATCGGTTTGTCTGATTCCCAATTAATTATTGTATCATATTGGATATCAAAGCAAAAAGTAATATATCACCTAATAAATATAAGATTTGTGGACATTTCGGTAATAATTTTTTTTTAAATTTTTTTACAAAGACATTGTGTAGAAAATACAATTTGGGAACTGAAGAGAAAATGTTAGTTCAAAGACACTGTCGTAGAGTTGCATCAAGTATTCCGTAAGATTTAGCATGCCTTGCCACAATAGAGATACCGGTCATGTTTCAGCTCTAAATCAAGGTACCAAATAAACATTATTGTACATGTTGATTTAATCTTTGACTAATCTTACAATTGTAATAAAAACATCATAAATAAACAATTTTGATTCTTTTCAGTGACGGGGCCATGTTTAAAGAAGAAAAAAACATAAGTGATAAATATATGCATTCTTCAGAAAGTGATGAATCAGAAAATAAGATCTACTAGTTATTACAATGGATACTTTGTTTTTATTTAAAAAAATTCCTAAAAAATGATAAGAAAAGGGCGTTTATCAAAATCTATTTAAATCTTTGATATTTTTTTTCTTGTTAAAACTCTGAACATAAGAATCGTCCTAGGGGAATAAAAGACCTCATCATTCCAGTGAAGCGTACTGAATACGTCTGAGAATATCAAATTATTTCTGGAACCACGACTGTTTTGTATAGTCAATTTAAATTTAAATAAATCTTGGACACAACATACTATTTCTATCAAATAGGCAACATGTTATCTATTTATTATAAATCTACTTCTTGCATGGTAGCAGATTTTCTTAGTCAAAACATGATATGAACTGGTGGTATCAAATAGGTGAGGACAAGTTAATGCTCGCTTCCAGCATGATGGTGATAACTCATGATATAGACCTATAGAGTAGTGACGGGTAGTGTGTAAGTCTTCACCCTATTTATACCCCTAAGACCCAAGAGGTCGACGCCGCCATAGCTGAGGTGTCATCAAATTATGTAGGCTTTCCAGAAAATATTTGGATGAGTAATTGGTTATAACAATTGTTGTCAGAAATATCATAACACTCTATTCTACATTATTTCTATCATTTTTAGCAAATTTATAGACGTCTAAATCCTTAAAGGGACATTCCGCTTTTTTGTAAAAAATTCCGATTATCAAAATGTCGTATATATACCTGAAAGTAGGCTATGTTGTTAATATCTATGTATCTTCTTGATCAAACTGAATTTGTTTTAAAAGGGTTGATTAAAAACGGAGATTACTAAATGTTGATTAAGCAGTTTCACCTAGATTTGGTGTTTGGCTTAGTTGAAACCTTTGGGATACATAAAAGACATAGTTCTCTAAAGTTTAGCTATGGACAGACTGAGCGAATTTCATTCGCTGGTACTTCGGCCGAACTATTCGCCGCCAAATTCATTTGGCCGACGCAGTGGTCATACTGGGCGAAAGTCAATATGGTGGTATTCAGAAAGAAACGAAGAGTGGCATTTGATTATATTATATAAGTTGGGCTTTGACTCGCATAACACAATTAATTCCTATTTCTTTTCTGCACTCCACAGTGGACACACATGCCGAATGAGCCGAAAGCGATAAATAGTCGGGCGAATGTCGTAGCACTGGACATACTAGGCGAAGTTCGCCGTGAAAATTCGCCCAGTCTGTCCGCAGCTTTAGACGTTAATTTTACTTAAATCCGTGCAGTAGTTTTCTAACAGCTTCCAAAAGTCATAACGAACCCTAAAACTTTACGTAAACTTTTAAAATTGGTGTATATTTTTCACAAATTTAAGCAAACATTTTTTGAACCTACATAAAAAGCGGAAAACCCCTTTAAACATGACTTTGTGATTCTTGTAAAAATGTTACCTTAATGAAATTTAACTTGACATATCATCGTCTTGTCATTTCAAAAGAAGTTTAATTTTGCACTTGTTTTACTTTCTGGTTCAGCTAATGTCTGTTAATGAAATAATGAATGACATATGTGCATATCACGTGAACCTTGAATCGTCGTCAAATTAACTAATTATTCTATTTACCAAATGACGATCCATGACTTCCTTTGAAATAAAAAAAGAACGTCCTTTCTGAATGGGTGAGCTGACGCAGAGGTCGGGGTGAAGCAGGTTGGACATCGTTCATTAATATTTAGAGCAATACACTTTTGGAACTGTCTTCTTGGACCCTAAAGATTGTTTGAGTTCCTATAAGCTGAGAACTAGCTTGTGGTCAATGGGTAAAAAGATGCAAGAGTATACGTACCGAGCATTTTTAAAACTGACTGTCGAACTTGTGTTTGTTGAGTGATCCTAAGTTCTGGGTCCACCACAGTTTGACTCTCGTTTGACGAGTCAGATCCACTGCGGATTAAAACAGACCTCCGTATAGCCAGGGCTATCATAAAGTACAAAATGGCTATCACCGCCATTGGAAACATGAAAAATAAAAATGTCGACACCTGAAACACTATTTTGGCTTCTGCTTCGTTTATTGTGTTACACTGTGCAGACTCTAGAATTGGAACATTGTTGGCTTTGATGTAAACGATCCCGAATTGTAACCCCACCGGTATCGAACACAACACTGAAAATAACCAAATTGCTATAATAACTCTGATGACACGTGACAGATTGGAGTTATTGGCCCTCATTGGATTATAACAGATGGCGTTGTATCGTTCCACCGTGAACGCGGTGATCGTTAATATGGACGTATACGTTGAGGCCTCAGCGGCTAAAAGTCGTAAACGACATATCGTTTCTCCTAAAAGAAACGGATACGCAGACCATAAACTGTAAATCTCTTGCGGTAATCCGAGTATTAACATGAGTAAATCCGATATGGCAAGATTAAAGAGATAGTAATTGGTTGGCGTGTGCATGTATCTGTTCCTGATGATGATAATGCACGTGCAAATATTCCCAAATATGCCAGTGATGAATATAATGATATAAATGATTGTAATAGGCACAGCCGCTTTAAGTACTGTTTGTTTCGGTCCGAGTTCGTATTCCAGATTAATCGTTCGATTCATTAAAGACGATCCATTCTGATGCGAATCGTCCAGGAGGCTAACAATGTGACCTATGGCCTCACCCAGTCCTGATGTTGTATTGATGGTTGTTTTTTCTTCCATTTTGTACATTATTCTAAATTTAGACACAACTCTTCTGATACACAAAATAATATCCTGCAAGGCACGTGTTTTCCATCGATAACGTTATGACATTATGACGTTATGTTTCTCTAATAACGTAATAAACGAATTGCAGTGTATATATATATATATATATTATGCACGTGCAATTTCGGTTATTTCCATTTCGTTCCGACTTGTCGATTAAGGCTGAATTCGAAAATCACATAAAACGCCTTCTATATGTAAAATAACTTCTTTCCGTGAATATAAATACATGTAGTCCCAAAACACAAATTAAGAAACCCACAGAATACCTTTATCAAAAGAAGAAATCCGACAAAATGATAATGGCACAATCGATGATGAATTTATGAATAGTTCAACTTTACTTGAGCAATCAATTGCTTTCAATTTCACGATAGCTCCAAGCTTAATTAATATCAGTAATAAAAAATGCACTCAGTCCACAATTCCAGTTCTCTCTGAACAACAGACAGTGTTTCCATTCATCGGATATTTCCTCGAGATCAATTTTTACCGCCGTAGAGCTGTCCATATTTCATACCCGAGTCGATAAATCACGGTCTATCTTACCAACCAATTATCTTCCCTCCGCTCTCTAATATTATATAATATAAGCTATTCAGTAATTTCACCAGCAATTCTAAATCATAGATTCCGTCCAAATTGATGGCTGGTAATCACACGGTATTGGTGGAAATTATTACAGATTACTGAAATATCAATTCTGAAAAGAGTAAATATTTTATGTCATTAATTCAATAATGTAATGTTTAATACAGAAATTTTGATTAATGAAGCGAAATGCTTCAAAACTGTCGCTTACTGAAGGTGGTCGCTTGATTTACGACCAGGCTGTACGCTATCTGATTTCAGACAAAGCTCCACAAAGATCAAATCATTTGCCCTATTCGATTAAATCGATAAAAAAAAATCGGAGAATATCTGCAATGAGATTCTTAAAACTTAAAAGAAACAACCAATTTTTACAAGGAAGTTAGGTTCACGAGGATCCTGACACTAGTTGATCCTTGGCCAAATCACTTGATATTGATCTTTCCCGAATTATCCGTACCAATTTCTACATAGATTATAAGAGACCTCCTATTTCAATTTTGTCAATGTCTTTATGAAGCACTCCGCGAGTCCAGCGCGTCCGAATATATCGTATGCGACTCATTTATAAAGGGGCAAGATATCAGGCCCGAAGCTACAGAGGGGGTGAGGCAGGGGGCATTCTGACAACCGACCAATTCCATGACTGCAACTAAACATCATACACCATTGCCCCTCCGAAGTCTGGCTACGATAATGTCGGTGATATACATGTATATTGCAAGGGAATTGTTGGAGGAATGCATAATACTTTATCATTACGCCATGAACAGACTTAAAAATAAAACACCCATACAACTATTGGAGATTACTCTTTAAAAAACATCTTGATGGCTAGAAAATAGCCCGTACCGTCGGAATACAACGTAACATAGCCCCACTTCATCCGTCTCTTAATTGCATTATTATTAGTCTGAAGGGTTTTGAGATAAACCTTATCCACCTGTGTCACTTCCCATGAACGTTCTTAAAGGTATTGCCCAGACTGTTTCTATTTTATAGCATGACAAGGGTTGAAATAGTTAAAGTGATTGTAAAGAGGTTTTCTATACTTTTAAGTGTATCGGGACACTCATAATATTGACTTGCACCTTCCAATTTTCAATCAGACGTCTGTGATTCTTGTTATTCAACTAAAACGTTATTATGACGTCCCTATCGTAAGGCTCTCGATACACATACAACATGGCGAATACCTCTTTACAATCCCTGTAATATCGACCAATATTTCTTTCTTTCTTTTATAATTTTTTTAGGACAATTGATCGATTAATTCTGTAGAGACCATAAGATTAAAAAACGTCCCAGAACCAAAAGTGAAAAGAAAATAACCGATACACCATAAAAGCAACATATAAATAATCATAAAGCATTTCTCCTCGAATTCAGAATGACTTTTGATCTGCTTCATAAAAAACATTGATTTTAAAGAGTCAATAAATCGATTTAATCTCGTTCTCAATCCATATTCTCAACCTACAGCATACAGAATATCAGATGTCGTGGTTTCTTCAACACGTCCAAAAGATTTTATAAACTTTTTATTAGTATCAATTTGCTCTATTCCACTGGCTGTGGGCCTTGCAAAGTTGCTAGCACTATCCTAGGGCCATTGCAGCAGCGTCATAAAACGCTTAGTTAAAGCTGAATTGCTAGAACCACAGTATTCTAACAACAAATTGTAAAGGAGGAAATCGATGCTACAAGTTTCACCGATACACATAAAAAGTTTACAAATCTCTTTAAATTTTTAAGCTGAAATCTAGATAAGTTCTGACAGTTATCCAGTAATACCACGCTTTAAACATTAAGCTCACTTTAAGCTTTTAATCCAAACCCGATTGGGAATCATTATTAAATATGTAGGTTTGATTTTAAAGAAGTTGTTTCTCATCAATTACATGTGAAATAATCGTCTGTATAATAAAGTTGCGTATTCTGCTGAAGGGAAAGGATGAACATGTACAAAGCTATCAAAACCATCATTGGAATGATATGGCTCAACTTATCTGGAAAATGCTATTCATTATATAGCTAAAAAGAAACATTGTATTCCATTGCTTAGTGTACGGACGAGTACGAACTGTATAAAATGCGATCATACATGCAAAATTCCACCATGTTATTTACAATTTGAAGTATATTAATTGACCTTCATTTTTCTATGTGGGATAGCTTCTTTAATACGATTTCTAACATACGTTAAGAGTGGCAGCAGTCATTATAAAGTATAATTTCTGTTGGTATTTGATAAGCGCCTGGTTGTTCGTGGTGATAATCCTGTTAGATTAACCAGCACGTGTTATAAATTCCAACAGTGTGTAAACAAATCTACTTACAAGGAAATTCTGAATAAATTAGTGATTTGTGCCAATAAAATACTCCAGAATATTTCAAAGATAAATATCAAAGGGACAGGTTTGCTATCCGTTTGACCCATCGTATCTTAGTCTTTGAAACGAGACTTTTTCAGCCAGGCTAATCAGTAATCAACGATATCGTGCAGTTCTAGTAATTCTGTAAACCATTTTATATTTAAGACCCTAATCAACCCCCGAAGATGACTAACCATCGACTTTAAAGCCAACGATTCACTTTTACGCAGTATGAGAAAGAGAAACATTACAGAATCATTTTGCATAAGTTTGGGGAGTTATTCAGCTACCTTGCTACCGATGTTTAAAACAATATATTGCCTTACTTTACGCTTGATTCACTCAATATCATTCATCTTGAATGGCATTTGCGATAGTGACGCCACAATCGTATCAAGGTTTTCTGGTATTTTGGGAATCATGATGGTCGGACGAGATATAGAAATCCTGCAAAAGTTATATTCAATTAACCGATTAAAGAATCTCTACATCAATCTGAATATAGAAAACTGTTATTGTGCCTAGTTTAGTTCTCTGAAGCTATGAGAATCCATGTAAGATTTTTAAATGAATAGAGAGCACCGTGTATCGATAACACAATATTGAAAGAAGTCGAAGCTATGTTATCATTTCAATTAACCGATTAACTCGAGGCCAAATTTAAAAATCTCTACAGTAGAATCCAATCTGACAAAAGAGACCATAATCGTGCCCAGTTTATAACTCTGTAGCTATGAGCATCCATGTTAGATCTTGGAATATTTAGAGCAGCGATATCGATAAATGAAATTGAAAGAACAAATTAATATATCCACAAGCCCACTGTCAACTCAGGAACTACGACATGCGAATTCGATCTTGGTCTTTCTTCTATTTCAAGAACATTTCCCGATATTTGGATCAAATTTAACCTGTTTTCACTAACATAAGCTATAAAATTCCTTTTGATTTAAATTTTCAGCCAAGATAACCGAGAATTTTGGAAGATATTCAACTATCAACGATTGATCAATTGGCCTGTCTAGCAGACCGAGGGTTTCTTTTTATCAAAACGTGGTTTATATTGTAATTACTTATAAATTCGCCGAGAATTCTGCAAGAGAAATGCATTGATAAAGGCCATGCCACACCATGACGATTCAGTCAGTGTAGGCCGGTGTATCAAAATTTCTCTAAAACTCCCGTATACAATACGATAAACCATAGATGTATTTTTGTTTTAATATTGAGTGTATTCATAGAGGATTTATAAAGAATTACACGTATACATAAAGTGGTATTAGCCTATAGGGAACGTTTCGAAAACTTATAAATAAACCTTTTTTATGTGTATTCTTAATTTGCTTATTTTGCATAAGTTTCTTTTCAATTTTACCATCCATATACATGTATGTGATTCACAAGAGGTTTTCTGGTATTTAAATGTTTATCGTGGAGACTTTTACAGTTTAATATGTACTGCAATCTATTTTATATTACCGGAAGCAGTATATTACGTGTTTCTTCGGCACTTTCTATTGCGTTAGAAATAGAGTTAATAAGAGAGCCCAAGGGAATTAAGAATTATTGCTTAAACGGAATTAACTCAGTCAATAGGAGAATACGATCTGATTATACTTGAATCATCTTCACAATGTCAAGCTATTACCATCTTCGTCTTATGTGCCTGAGGACGACGGGGGAAACACGTGGGAATGTTACATAAAACTTTAACCAGTAGTTGTTGTTCCA